GCTAAGCGACGCCCTCAACAAACACAACCTGCTGCATGAAATATAATTTTGCTTGCGAGGCAAATGGCCTAGCCGCCGAGCCTCCTAATATATTTTATAAATTGATTTATAAAATATAATATTAATAAATAAATAAAATTTTAGACAGGAGCAACACTAGTGGTATTCATCTAAACCGATAACTTTATCAAGCAGATAATCTTTTAAGTTTACGCACTCTGTTACATGAACGACCCACACTTTTCTTTTCGTTTACACATGCGACAATGGTCGTGTTTTCTTTGGTTATAGAGCTCAGTATCACTAACTTTATAATACTAGCACGGGGATAAAGAAATTATAGAAACTACCTCACTAAATTGGAAAAAATTATATTTACGAGATAATATCTATTTAAATAAATATAGAATGTCTGTTTGTGTATGAATTCATTTGTCACGGCTGCCAAAACTTTGCGGCCAAATTATCAGTGAAACAAAACAAAGAGACGGGATAATAATTGAACCACATCTCTATCAGGTTCATATGTTGTTGTTGAATTTGCGTGCAAAATTTGTATGCGGATCCCGATTATTGCACAAGAAAGCATAGCTAGAGTTGCGACAGAGTTGCATTGGCTTCACTTTATCGAGTTTATCAGAAATGTAAAATTAATGATTTTCCATACAAATTTTGACAGTTAATTTATAAGGGTTACACAATTATAAGTTTATACGGTTTACCATGCATTTATAAGGTTTGATGAATATCCTTACTATTCAAAAGATTGTACTTTTTATCTTAACGGTTTCAATCATTAGGTTTTATGAAGTATTATGAAAGATATGGCAATAGATTGACCGGATACAGTGCTTTTAGCGTTTTAAAACACCTTTTTAAGTTAACTTGAGCAACGTGACTATCTTTCGATCGTACGTGAGCTTCCCCTCTTCAATCAGAAGACTTTCATAAAATATTAAGGGAGATATCGTGTCGTAACATCAAACTACCTTTTAAAAATAAGTATGTATATAGATTTTTAAAGAGTTGGCAACCAAATTATTACTTCTGGTTAAGAGTGCATTTAAATGTGTTTCATTCGCTTAACGCGTTGCAATATTTTACTCAAGATATACACATGTATATTTAAGTCACTAAAATTTAAGCAGAGGCAATCCTAAAGGTTTTTATTTTTTACCATAACTTCTTCAGAATGGTGTTTAGTTCATTCAATTTGATGGAGTATTAGAAAAGATATGACGCATTACTGACCGGTATACAACTCTTCCAGGCCTTCAAAACCCCCCTTTTTTAAATAGATAACTAAATTTGAACAACGTGACTATTTTTCACATGTACATGAGCTAGGGGGGAAAATGAGATATCATTCATTGAATTTGATAAAATATTAAAGGAGATATCGTTTGGTAACAGAAAAATACCTTTTAGAAATAAGTACATAGATAGGGACAACATACAATAGTACATAATATTTATAACATTTTTTTTTTATTACTGTGTTAATTTTGCCACCTGGTAACTTTAAAATATTTCACCATGTGGTAACTTTGTTTGTTGTTGGTTCTCATACTAATTAGAGATAACACTTTTGGGCAAAGTTATTCGACTTTGTCTCATGTTTTTGTTTTGTGTTAAACTGACATCTCTGATCAGCTAATTATTCGCGCTAAGAAAAAATGGAAAGTGAAGCATAAAAACATAAGGTGGGCGCAATTTGAAAGATTTTTAAATATATATCTGACTATATTTGTTTTATTGACAATTTAAAACACATGTGTGAAGGGTTGCTCACAGTTCGAGTGTGTTATCTTGTTAAAGTTACCACCTTTTAACTTTAAAAGTAAACTGTGAATACCCTTATTATAAATGGAATTTTAGAAAATATTGTACATTATTTGATCGCATCTCCCAACTTTTTGTTGATGGTGTTAA